TATGAAGTGTAAAGACCCTTCTAGGTCTCAAACTTCCATCCTCTTCTCTCATACCCCCCAGAAAAAAAGACCTCACCACCTCTCATGAATGGGACTAAGGTCATTTGGTGAGCCCTCTCCTCTAGTGTCCCTTTCCCCACCTGAACTTGAGTCATTCATCCTCTGACTGAGACATGCCAAGGCTGATGTCTTCAGCCATGTTCTCCATCCTAGTTCTTGCCTTTTTGCCTCCTCTATATCTTTGGTTTTTCTTCTCTACTTTTTGTTTTGCCTGTGAGCAAACTCAAATCTTTCCTACATTTAAAAGCAAATCCAAAAACTGTAACTTCATGTGCCTCACAATCTCTCAAAAGAACCACACCCTTACCACTAACTCATCTTTAGTTGTTTATCATTGCTCTTCTGTTCCTCAGCCCCATGTGGATACATACCTTCTCTACTGAAACTGTTGTTAAGTGACCAGGGATACAAATTTCCATTATCTACCGGCCTTTCCTCAGGTCCCACTCTTCTCACTGCTCCGCTATACTCCACACTTTTATCTTCCTTTTATTAAAACTTTTTCCTCTTTGCTTCTGACACTTATAGATCAGATCGTCCATGCGAATGTAAATTACTGCAATCAGCTGGCAATATTGTAACAAAATATAGAGAAGTTACAAGACATGAAACAAGTACAATGAATAGTTCTTTAAAAGTTTACACATAAGGGCACCTGGGTGGCTCAGTCAGTTAAATGTCTGCCTTTGACTCAGGTCATGGTCCCAGGGTCCTGGGATTGAGTCCCGCATCAGGCTCCCTGCTCAGCAGGAAGCCTGCTTCTCCCTTTCCCTTTGCCCCTCCGCTCCGCATGTGTGCACTTTCTCTCTCGCTATCTCAAATAATTAAAAACTCTTTAAAAAAAATAAAGTTTACATATAAACCTAACATATGAGAAAATAAACTTGGCAGGAATACTACTATATATGACCATCTTAAATTACCCCAACTGGCAAACACTTGAGCCACAGACCTAACTTACATACATAACAAACATAGATGTTTTACAAAACATAGTAATTGTCTGCCAATTAAAAAAAAAAAAAGCTATTACTTTTTAGTCTTTTTTTAGCGAGTACATTCATAGTAATTGGGGCTTCTCATAATATTGATATTAAAGTGGTTGAGAATTAACTGAAAACATGAAAGGTTTGTGTTTTTTTTAGATTTTACTTATTTGAGAGAGAGTGGGAGAGTGGGTGTTGGGGTAGGGGATAGAGAGAATCTCAAGCAGGCTCTATGCCCAGTGCAGAGCCTGATGGGGTGGCAGTGGGGGGTTCAATCCCAGGACCCTGAGGTCACGACCCGAGCCGAAGTCAGATGCTTAGCTGACTTAGCCACCCAGGTGCCCCTTGTGTACCTATAACTTAACACAGCCTGGCAGAAAGCTGTCCACTGGTGTGTCTGCTTTTGATCTTTATCCTTGAATTAAAATATGGCTGCTCTACAGTGATCATTTCTGCAGTAACCCTTACCCTTGAACACAGGTTTTTTTGTTTTTGTTTTTAAGATTTATTTGTCAGAAAGAAAGAGAACACACAAGCAGGGAAAGCAGTGGCAGCTGCAGGCAGAGGGAGATCAGACTCCCCGCTGAGCAAGGAGCCTGATGTGGGGTTCGATCCCTGGATCCCGGGATCATGACCGGACCCGAAGGCAGATGCTTAACCGAATGAGCCACCCAGGCATCCCATAAATAAATCTTAAAAAAAAAAAAAAAAATGTAGTTAATTAGTAGTTATATTTTGGAGTCAAAAGTTTATTTGTGGATTTTCTACTATGCAGGGGGTCAGGCACCTTAACCCCTGAATTGTTCAAGGGTCAATTTTACATCTGTAGACAAAGATATTTCATTAGAAACATTAGCTTTTATGTGAGTTTACAGTAACAAGAGTCTACAATACACTAATCAGCCTATTATTGGTAATAAGGCAGTAAAGAGCCTTGGATATCACATGGAGAATGCTTGCAAGGTTATGATCACAAGCAAGAGCAAAGCAGTGAACACCTAATCCATCCTTGCTATGGAAAATCAGGTATACCAATTTCAGTGATGTGAGGTTTATAACAGCAAAGTTCTCTAACACTTTCTCATTCAGAGAATAAAGTATAAAGACCAATGAAGGAAATGAAGGAAAGGCTATGCACAGCTGAGACCGTATTTTCCCTGCATCCATATCCTTAATCTGATTTACCAATTACACGTCCAACCCAACATTCCATTTCATTTTATTCATTCAATAAGCATGTGAGTGTATGTATATGCTAGGGATACAATAATGAATTAGATCTCCCTCTAAGGAAGTTAAAAGTTGAGCCAAGATTAGAATGAGTTACTGTCAACCAAGCCATGAATCAGGGGAAATGTCTAATGCAAAAGAAATATATCGAATACAGGCAGAAATAAGGTTGGAACATTTTTAAGTGCTTATAAATTAAGAATGGAAGCAGGATGAAGCAGGGGGATGGATGGGAGCACAACATGGACAAGGTAACAGGAGTGGAAAGTGATGTGTTAGGAACCACAGCCAAGTGTCCAGCTAAGAAATATTAGCGGCTTGGGGTATGGGGCCAGCAATGGAGAGAGATCAACAAATTCAGTATATTTTGGTGGCTGTTGGTCACCGCCTTTAAGGAATCAAGTATGACTCCAAGGTTGGTTTGAGTACCTGAGTGGGTAAATGCATGGTGGTATCATTTACTGAATTGAAGGCTGGAAGAAAGGGCAAGGTTAAGGAGAAAAATCAAGAATTCCTTCCTTCACAGGCTACGTTTTCCAACCAAACTTCCTTTATCGGTCTACATTTTTCCAAGTCCTTGCCTATTTGAAAATAACAATCCCTCTACTAAAATGCTCTTCTATCTCCCTTGCCTCCTACCCATGCCTGCAGCAACCCACCTCTCAAAAGTCTGTCCTCTACCACTCATCCCATTTATCCCCTAAATTGAACAACTCATTCCTCTAGACTTCCCGGAACTTTATTTCTACCTCTTCTAAGGAATGTAACACCTTCTACCTTGCATTAAATACTATGTAATTTCTCAGAATGTAAGCTTGTCTCAACCATTTCTGACATATGGTACTAGAGTGCTTTATACATGAGATGAAAACTCAAAATACGCAAACACTTAAAGTTACCTTAATCACAAAGCCTTTACAAACAGAAGATAGCTAGGATCTCATTATCATACATTATTTAAATTGAAACAAAAGACTAACAGAAAACTCTTTTTGCATATAGTAGTAACTGAAATCTAAAGGTATCAACTTCAGAAATTATTCTGAAAAATGTAACATTTAAATAAGACAAAAACTGCAAATAAAATGAATAGAAATTAAGTAGATCAATTTATTTATTTTTTTTTTTTGTATTTTCACAAGTGTAATTTTGGAAGGGCTATTTGACAAATTTCAGCATTAACTGCCAACTCTATAGACATGTTCAACAAAAAAGGCATTCTCTTGGCCCTTTTAAATACAGGCAAAGTGTCCTATTGCATCACAAATGAGAGATGCAGTAACTGAGGGCTTATTAAAGAAATTAGGTGTTTTTTCCAAACGCTATTTGGTTGATAATAACATAATACAAACATACATGAATGGTTTCATGACCACCAGCAATTTGCAGAATAAAACCCATTAAGTCTACCTACTTTAAAGGCCAAACTAGCAAAACAGTATTAAAATTGGTGTTTTTAAATCCTTAGATTAACAATCCTGGAGATTTCTTTGATCCTAGTTTTATGAAGTGTGGTGGGGAGTCAGGGGGAGAAAGGATATGGGGGAGGGGGGAGACTGGCAGTGCATGCTGAGTTGCAGAGTTGGGACAGTGGCTCAAATTAGTCATCCAGATTAGGATAGTGTTTTAGAAAATTAAAAATGTGTCCTAAATGTGGCATATTGGGAAGGATATTCAAGGTTGGTAATTCATCAGCCCTAAACACCATTTAATGAATGCCATCTGGAGGCTTAAGAAGTAAGGATGGGGGGGGGTGAAATAAAATGAGGTGAAAAAGGAAAAGGAAAAGTACAAGAAATGTGTTTGAATGTTGGGGAGTGTGAAAAGGCCACCAGAGAAACTTACTTTAGTTGCCACTCAGGTGTGCTCTTCCTATAGGCTATCTGCCCCAGATCACCGAACATCACATTTACAGCACAATTTGAGATTATATTTCAGCTTTGATAAAACGTCACTAATTTGGATTGAGAAAGAATACATGCATGGCTGATTTAGTAAGAAGTACCAATAAATATTCAGAGGTATGGTTTTGTTAACTCAAGTAAAAAGAGCAATTCCAACTTTTCGAGAACAAGTAGAGAGAGGCCTCACCCGGCCTGCCTTGATGAATAGTTAAGACTTATTTTTAGGTCAGCAGCACGTGAGTACTGAATAACTTGTAAACAGACTGCAAACATGCTGCCGCCAGTTCATCAAAACAATCTAACAATTCTTACTATCCCAACATGCCAAGAACTATAATTGTTTTAGTCAGATGTGTAGCTTTCAAAAATGAAATGTTTCTCAAAATGCACTACCAAAGTGGGAGCAACTGGACATGAAACAGGTAATTCATTTCAGACTTTAGCCAATTTTCATGAAATATTTGTTACCCTGAACTTCAGTTGACTCCAACATTCATTTACAATAAATAAGACAATTAAAATTAGCCATTTTTCAAACCACAACTCTCAAATTAGAGAAATGGGGAATTAAACTCATCTAGTCAACATCTTCCTTCAAGCAATGGTGGAACAGTCTGCAAGTATGTCTTCAATAAACTGAGACTTGAGGCAGAACAAAAAATAGAAAAATTAAAAACCTCTGTATCCCAAGCACCAATAATGGAGGCTGAGCAATTATACCTAAAAATTCTTATTGACAGGTCTTTCCCTAATGGAAAATCCTGAGATTTTAAGCACTGTGACTTTACAGAAGGCAGGTTGGTTTAATGAGGAAACTTACTTTCAATAAAAAGACAATCAACAGTATTTTATTTTGGGCACTTACTCAGTATTTCACAGATCCTCAACAAGTTTTGAGGTAGGTTAAATATCAGCATTGTATTTTACAAATAAAACTTAGACAGAGGTTATATCACTTGTTGCAAACCACAGCAGGAGTCCTATCACGGTCAGGAATAACATGGTCTCTGTGATCTTTCAGATTAACCATCTCTAATGTGTAAATTTAATGTTGACAGCTTGCAAATATTCACCAAAAAAAAAAAAGACTAGACATTACACAAATTCTACTTTGGGGTATTTCCTAATTCTTAAATGGATCCTACAATGATTATACATATTGTGGAATAATCTACTTGCTCCCATCACAAATATATTTATATATAACTGATCCTTAAAATTACAAACTGCAACATTACTGACTTCATGGATTTTCTGCCTTTTGGGGTGGGTGGAACAGGAAGATAATCAGCAAGCCTTACTCAGAGTGCTAGGCAGCCTTTAAGTGCAGGTGCTATGCTCAAGGCACCATTTACAATGATTTGGAGTCACAGGAAAGCAAGTATACAGATGGAGCCAAGACCTAGAAAAAAATGCCTGGATCCAAAAAGAGGGGAGGCCCCGCGCAAGTCAAAGACAAAGAAAAAAATACTATCATCTCAGGCTACTGATCTTCACTGTCATGCTATAGCATTATATCACCTATGGGAAGAGCTCTTAAAAGAGCAGTAAATGTATCCTGATAAAGTCTGTTAATTAAAATTCTTACTAACTAGATAAACCACAAGTAAAATTAAATTGATTATTTTATTAAAGTGACATCTATAGAAGTAAAATATCTAAATATTTTAATATGAGTATGTTCCACCTACCACATAAATGACTCTAAGTGTCACAAGTATAATTCACTTAGCTTACTTAAAATTATTTAGCAGAATTCAGCTCATCCTGACATGGGTTCCTGGGCCAGTCTTCTCAAGTATTTGTTTCAGTAAAAAGTTCCTTTTATTTAAACAAGTGTCAAATATTAGTAATAATACAGAATTAAGAGTGGTTAATTAACAACTGAGAAATTATAAGAAAAACATCATTGTTATAAAATATAGCATTCAGCAGAGCAAATTTCAAGAGTGAGGATATACACCTATGCTTCTGAATAGACTAAACAGCACAGCCGAACACGATTTGAGTCAAAGCAAGAAAAAAAGGAGGGAGGGGCCACAGGAGGCAGAGTATCGAAGCCTTTTATTCTAGTGTCCCCCAAATTGACTGTGGAAGTAAAAAGTTTCTACATTAAAAAAGTTTATATAAATTACATGATTTGCAATTTTCATAAAAGTCAAAATGAAAATGTTCTGCATAGGACAAAAGATATGCCTAAGCAACATATCATATCTGCACAAGGCCACTGAATGTCATGGATATTAATAACAAATGAAAAAGCTTAAGTCTATGACAGACTTAGCAAAGATTTGTTTGGTATTCTATAAGCCCAAGATTGTAAACTACTCTTACTATACAAAAGCTCTAATGACATACAGAGTTTTGTGTAGGAACTCTTGTGCTTCTGGTTGGCACATCATCTACTTTTTAATATGTGAAATTAATACAGACATTTGTGAGAGGTTGTGCAAAACTACTGTATTTACAAAAATGGCACAAAAGTGAATTCAACAGTCGATGCACATGCACACTTCATTCACATCTTCAACAAAAGATACTCGAACACTACAGAACTGAGTAAGAATACTAGCTTCAACGGCAGCTGTTAACCACTAGTCACGTAAGTTACACCAGAATGGGCAAATATTGCCCAAGTAAAATTCTATTGTTAAAGCTGAAACAGGTTTAAGGCCATTCAAGTTCAAGCACAGAGAAATCTTTCAGAGCCCCATCTATTTTTGTTTGAAGAGTGTGATCTTCCTTCCAACTTGTGGTCTTAAACTTGTTTTACAAAATCCAAAAGGAAAATACAGAAGAAATCAATACAATAGAGGTTATATTAAATAAGAGTAACATACAAAGCTATAATTAAGATGAATTAAAGAAAGCCAAAATATTACAATTGTAAAACTTGCTCGTTACTTGTTGAATCAGTCCTACACTAGAAGTTAGGTAATATATACAATTATTTTCAAGTAGATTACTTTATGTTGCTCTAACATGTTCTCTTTATCAGTGCACTGTTAAAACTAATCAAAACTCTACACACGTATATTCCCTTACAATAGCAGCACACACTACCGCTACCTGCAAAGCTGTCATTCTCAAATGACTTGGTGAATGAAAGGAAATAAAAAGCAGAGAAGTAACATATTAAGGAGAAATAATGGGAATTAGAAGATTCATGCAGTTCAGCTCTTTTAATCAGCCAGCCAGCTTGCTAGCAACAAGGGATGGTTTCCGTTGAGGAAGGTCCTGTGGAGTGGGAATGTGGTCACCAGTGACCTCTGTCTTATCCGGAGCTGCAGTAGGAAGCTGCTTGTTCTTCATTTTGGCTTTAGCCATGTTGTAATCCCCAGAATCAAAATATTTTTGCTACAAGAAAAAAAAAATTGAGACTGGAATTTAAAACTTTCATATGCAATCATACTGATTAACATGTAGATAAAATAAGTTAATCTAAAAAAATTTAAACATTAATATAGATGAAATAGCAAAGCTTTCATGTACTAACAGAAAAACCAGACTAAAATTCTTGCTTAAATTATTCTGAAAATAAAAACAATCCACTAACTTGCATTTAGGATGTGCCACACACTTTCAATTAACCTTGTATTATTACAGGTCCTGATATCTAGGATGAACATTTCTGCAAGGATTTAAAATCATTTATTTGAATTAGAGCAGTTCACTAAAATAAAAATTAAGGTTAAAATATAAATGCTAGGGTAACAGAAGAAATAAACTCATTAGAAATTATCACTTAAAATGCACATCCCTAACCTACACCTCTTGTTTTTCACTTAAGACACTGCCTAAGTACAACTATCACTCTTTTTAGGTAGAGGGATGAATAAAGTAATAATGATGCCCTTTTATCGCTAAAATAGAAATTTTAAGGAGAGCTAAAGATCAACCTTAATATAGCTAATCTACATGAGTTATCTGTTTCAGAGTAAAAACAGACAAATTTGCCTGGTTTCTGACTTCCATCTATCGTGTTTAACCTACCTTTACTGAGTGCCTGTTAATAAGGCACGTCAGAGTCCTGGAGAGAGAGAGAAAGAAGCACAACAGTTAAATACTCCAAACATTATACTATTTTTAGTACACAAGGTGCTATGAGTGCTCAAAGGAGGGTAACCTAACCTTTCTAGGTAGGACAGAAGGAATAATCCAGAAATGAGATGAGTGCCTCATGGACAAAAGGTGAAGGGAGAAAAAAAAATTCTCTTTGAGACTTCAGGGGTATCTCATGTGGTAAATAAAGTAGATGAGAATTCACAGCTTAGTCTAAGATTGTTGAGTGGCCTGGGAAAAGGTCTCAGTGGCTGCCTCCCTCAAGGGACTATTCTTTGATAAGCCAGATCAGGCCTAAAGCCAAAGGGCCTAAAGCTAGAAAACTGCTTTTTATGTGTCACTATACATGTAACACACTGAGCAGTAACAAGGGAACGTGGACCAGGTCCTTTTAAGGCTTGCTGCAGCTTTATTTCTGCATGGTTTTTTTGTTTTGTTTTTAAGATTTTATTTATTTGTCAGAGAGAGAGAGAGAGCATGCACACAAGCAGGGACAGCTACAGGCAGAGGGAGAAGCAGGCTCCTTGCTGAGCAAGAAGCCCGATGCGGCACTTGGGATCAAGATCCGAGCGGAAGGCAGACGCTTAACTGACTGAGCCACCCAGGCGTCCCTATTTCTGTGTGTTTTAAAATGAGTATAGTGAGGGCGCCTGGGTGGCTCAGTTGGTTGAGCGACTGCCTTCAGCTCAGGTCGTGATCCTGGAGTCCCGGGATCGAGTCCCACATCGGGCTCCCTGCTCAGCGGGGAGTCTGCTTCTCCCTCTGACCCTCCCCCTCTCATGCTCTCTCTCTCTCTATCTCATTCTCTCTCAAATAAATAAAAATAAAATCTTAAAAAAAATAAAATAAAATAAAATGAGTATAGTGAAAAGAAATCTCAGAACTTCTGACTGTTGTATTAGAGAGTTACTTCTGAAATTTAATAGCTTCTAGGGGAGAACAAAGCAGACTGCCCAATTCTTTACTGAGTCAAAAGCACAAAATGAGAAATTTAACACACAGTACAAAATTTAGGAATATTTTCCCCAAAGTAATAAAGTTAGTTGCTAATGATACCTATTTTATAGTAAGCAAAAGTTCATCACAAGGGGTTCTCACTTACTTGTTAGGCTACTCTGCATGGGGAAAAGGAATTAAATTTATTTAATGTGGCCAGAGACAAAACTAAAATCAGTGTTTAACAATTGTAACTGCTCTCAAGAGAGGAGTGAACTAAATCAATGTCTCTCACCATAGGACAGACATAGGCTAACAAGGCAATATTATTGTCTTCAACAACTTAAAAATTTTACATTTTAAGTGAAAATCTTTAAAACTTAACAAAACATATTCTGGATCGTCTGAGTGACAAACTTATAAAAGCCTCCTCCCACCCAAATTTAGGAGCCACACTTACATCAGTATTTATAATTGCACTGACACTAAGTGATCACCTAAAGTGACAAACTTTTAAGGCCATGTTTCTTAAAACTGAATCCTTGGGGTGCCTGGGTGGCTCAGTGGGTTAGGCATCTGACTCTGGATTTTGGCTCAGGTCATGATCTAGGGTCATGAGATGGAGCCCCGCATCAGGCTCTGTGCTCAGTGCAGAGTCTGCTTGTCCTTCTCCCTCTGTCCCCCACCCCCACGCATGCTCTCTCTTTCAAATAAATAAATCTTAAACAACAACAAAAACTGAATCCTCAGTTTTTCTGGGGCTTCACAAATTCCACAAATATGAAAAAATATGGGCCAGACTGCTTCTTGATATCCCTCCCAGCTTTAACAGTCTGTATGTTACAATATACAAGCTACACTGTGAAAAGCCTAAAATAGATGTAATAACATTAATAAGTACAGTGAAACAGAAAGGGACTAAATATAAGTATCTAATCAACCCTCCCAAATGAAAAAGAAACTGTTTAAAGATACTAAGGTAACTTAAAGACTAAAACCCAAGACCCTGTGATCCAGACATCTAAAAAATAAAAACCCTTTTAAAATAGTAAGAAATGATACAGCTGAATGTAAGACTTCATTTCCCTAATATAAAAGTGCTTATTCACTGACATTTTGGTATAATGCAAAATCATCCAAGAGTTCCCTTCTCAAATTCTATATAATTATTTCTTGGTTCAAGCAGCATTTTCTCTTTCCCAACTATTTACAGTACCAACTCCAAGATACGATGTTTATAAATTCTGACTTAAAGATACTTAAAAAGCCATTGTGAAGCTAGAGGAAAATTACAAAGACAACAGCCCAAATGTTGGAAGAAAGCTTGTTAGCATAAATTGTGCTAGACATTAGCAAAGGAAAGAAGTTTCCTAAACACTTAATAATCAAATCCAAGTAATAATTTAATAGAGATGATTACATAATTTATTTCATAACTAAAACCACACCATGGGACCATTTCAAAATTAGACTAGATATAAATACATTCTACATAACTATATTGGTAATGAACATGTTTCTCATTCTGCTTTTCTATTTACTCCCTACGTTACATTATCTTTGTAATAATGCTTTTATTTTTTTTTTAATTTTATTTATTTGAGAAAGAGAGAGAGAGATAGCAACAGAGATAGTGAGAGAGCACACAAGCAAGGAAGAGAGGGAGAAGCAGGCTCCCGGCTGAGCAGGGAGCCCAACGTGGGGCTCAATCCCAGGACCCCAGGTTCATGACCTGAGCCAAAGGCAGCCGCTTAACTGACTGAGCCACTCAGGTGCCCCTTAGAGGTTTTGTCTTTATATATCTGGTATAATTCCTACCTGCCATCCTAGTATTTCAAAGCTGTGAACATTATTCTTTCATATAAAACAAAAAAATTCTGGGGGCGCCTGGTTGGCTCAGGCATTAATAGGCTGCCTTCAGCTCAGGTCATGATCCCAGGGTCCTGGGATCAAGCCCCACATCGGGCTCTCTGCTCGGCAGGGAGCCTGCTTCTCCCCTCCCACTCTCCCTGCTTGTGTTCCCTCTCTCGCGGTCTCTCTCACTCTGTCGAATAAATAAATAAAATCTTCAAAAAAAAAAAAACAAAAAACAAAAAAATTCTGTATTTTACCACTTCTAAAAATAAGTTCTTATCTATTTATTTTTAATTGTTAGAATTTTTTTTTTTTAATTCTGTTAGAATTTTTATTAGCTGAACTTTATTTATTTTTTTTTAAAGTAACCTCTACCCCCAACATGGGGCTCGAACTCATGACCTGGAGATCAAGAGTCACATGTTCTACCGACTGAGCCAGCCACGTGCCACGTTACCATATTCTCTTGGTATAAAGAAAAAGAGTGTATGATTTCACTTACATGTGGAATCTAAAAACAGTAAACTCATAGAAATGGCAGAATGTGGTTGCCCGGGGCTGTGGGATGGGGGAAATAGGGAGATACTGGTCAGAAGGCACAAACTTTCAATTATATGATGAATAAGTTCCAGGGATCTAATGTACAGTAAGTTAACAATATTGAATTGTATACTTGACAGTTGCTATGAGAGTAAAGCTTTAATGTTTTCACTATAACAACAAAACGGTAATTATGTGAGGTAAGGGATGTGTTAACTAACCTTACTGGTAAGCATTTCACAACATGTATGGGTATCAAATCATCACAGTGTACACCTTAAACTTACACAATGTTATGTCAATAGTATCTCAATAAAGCTGGAAAAAACTATCCTTTTGCAATTTGATTTGAGAAAATAATCCATATATAACTATAGCCAAAACCTATACATATAAACATACATGTACATACGGACATGTGTTTATTAACCAAACAGTAGATACCAGTATGTTCAAGGTATTTATTAAAGGAAAAACATGATTTGGCACCTGATTCAATTAACAGTTCTCTTCATCTTTCCCTGTTCCCTGTGTGGTAAATCATTTAAATGTACTTTAACCAAAGATGGAGTCCTTTTTTTTACAAAGGGGTTAGAAAAGAAAACCTAAGGAACGAACAAGCAGCATTATCACAACTCAGACCTCATTATTAAGCAATAATGGTTTCTACCTCACAAAGAATTGGTAAGATTTTGAAAAAATGTTTTCGGTAATATGAACTATTAAAATTACCATGCATAAATTGTATTAGAGTAACTCTGTAAAATATATTATGTAAAGGAGATAATAAGCTCTGCTTTTATAAGCAACCATTTCATCCAAACAAAAAATATTTATAGTCTTTGCATGGAAATCATCTTTAAAACAGGTTAAAGTTAAAAAAAAAAAAAAATATGGGCAGAAGGGTATATACCAGCTTCTGGATAGTCGCTGCTTTCGAAAAGAAGGGGGGAAGGATATATATACACACATTTGGTAGGTTTCAACTGTATCTACAACATTTTCTTTCTTACAAAGATAAAACTGAAGTAAATATGGCAAAATATTAACATACTAAATCTGGGTGGTGGGTGCACGGGTTCTGCTCTATTACTATCTGTACTTTCTACATGCTTCAAACAGTTTAAAGTGATGAGCTGTTCATTCTTATCATACATATTTATACAATAACCAGTATAAAATATTGGAAAAATTATATACGTCTCTCTGTATATTTATATCTGGTAAGGTACAGAGTTATATATAAACAGACACCCATTTCATAATTGCAATCGCAATGAGTTCATAGGGTTTAAGCATTTGAAGATTACACATGAGAACTTACCCCCTTCTGTAATCGTTTCCTTAAGAAATCTGAACCTCCAGGCTTTTGTCCCAGATGAGGATACCTTGCTTTTAATTTTGCTTCTTCAGCTTTCTCTGGACTAGTCACTTTATCTTCCATTTCCTGAAATAATTTAAAATAAATTACTTGTCTATTCCAATTCACTTTTATTTAAAATAATTAGCCTTTTAATATCTGGATCCTGACTTTAGTTGTCGAGTGCCAAATAATGCAGCATCTGACTAAGAAATCAAGCACAGAAGCTTTTAAAACATCTCTGTCTTGTTTTTCAAATGATCCATGTGATAGCTCTATTATAGCTGTGATGCATGTGTACACCCCACACACTGGATAAAAATATCAAGATAACTCAGCTCTGAAATCTTGCTTGCCATTACCTTCCAGTCATGTATAATACATTTATAGTTAGTCACCTTCCATGGAACTCATCAGCTCTTTGCCTATATTTAGAGAACCATCGTCATACTGTTAAAATACAAAAAAAAGATCTGATCTCCTGTTAATGCAAATTCATGTATGATTGGAAGCTCTGAGATTCTTTAATAGGAATTAGCAACAGCTTATTTACCAGGAGGTTTTCCCTAACTCAATATAGAAGACCTTGGTTATTTTTATTTTATTTTTTTAAAAGAATTTATTTCTCTTAAGTTATCTCTACACCTAACATGGGGCTCAAGCTCACAACCCGGAGATCAAAAGTCCCACACTCCACCGACTGAGTCAGCCAGGCACTCAGCCTCGGTATTTTTAAAGAAAAACATCTTTGTCAACCTTCATATCAGTGTATATTATTCCCTAATTTCTCCCCATATTTAATGACAAATACTGCTCATGCCAAAGGTCCCATTCTGTAACGTATCAAAATGTGTTTTCTGACCAAATGACTGTCAATATTTTAAGACTATTAACTTTTTTCTTTTAAAAGATTTTATTTATTTGAGAGAGCAAGCAGGAGCCGGGAGGGGGGCAGAGGGACAAGCAGACTCCCCGCTGAGCACAGAGCTTGACATGGGGCTCAATGCTAGGACCCTGAGATCATGACCTGAGCCAAAGTCAGACGCTTAACCAACTGAGCCACCCAGATGCCTTTTTTTTTTTTAAGTAAGCTCTACAACCAACGTGGGGCTTAAACTCATGACCCCAAGATCAAGAGTTGCAGGTTCTTCCGACTGAACCAGCCAGGTGCCCCAGGCCTACTCACTTTTTTTTTTTTTTTGAAAAACATATAAATTTACTTAATACAAATTTTATGTCATACAGGAGGCTTCATAAGGATGAAGACCAAAGATGGTTAAACCTGATTTTTATTCTAAGTTTAATCAAAAGTAGAGAGAAAATGAAAAAAATACGATAGGACAAAAAGGCATATGAGATGGAAGTGGTAAATAGAGGAAAACAGCAAGGCCTATTTCTTCAGTCTTCTCAGTGTCCCTCTATCTCCGATTATAGGGAAGGCACCTCTCATTTGAGGATCTAATGACCTGCTTCAGGGGAAGATCAAAAAGTCCTTCCTGCACATACCATTTCTCAAATTCCTTCAGCTTATAATATCCAATATCCCAAGGTGCCATATTTGGGGGCAGCATGTCCTAAACCCCGTCATTCCCCCATGTGAAACTTTCCCAAGAAGTTTCACGGTCCAAAAACTGAGTTGGTAGATTATCCCATAACCCACTGAATCAGTCTCAGTCCTGGGAATAGGTCAGTCCTTTCAAATAGTTATGTCTCATTTCAGGACATGGTGGTATACCCCCTACATTAGGTGTCTATACAGTATGATTGCTCATACCACTGACATCTAAGAAGGGACATTTTTCTTGCATTGACTTTTTTCAGTTTTCCCAAGATCCCATCTACAGACTCTGGAGTGATTGCAGAGTCCTAGCCATCCCTTCATGGTCAACAGAAACTATTTGTCAAGTTGAAAGAGGGCCTGTCTCTTCCCCCTTATTCTTTCTCCTCTTCTCAACTCTTCATTCCCCCTTTCATGTGTATATGGTCCCCGCCTGCAGGTTAGGGCAGCAGGGCCGAGAGGCAGAGTCCACTCAAGCCTACTCACTTTTAACACCAGTTTTGATTTTGTCTACTTTCTGCCCAAGAGCCATATTTTATAGGGGAGCAGTGTTTATCACTTTATGGTAAGTACTGAAGAATGAATGAATCAAGAAAAACAAAGTTTCCCTGATAGGCAATGCTGAAGTGCACCTTCCAGCTAATGGACTCATTTCTGCATACCAGCTAGGCAAAATCACATACCTCTGCATATCTAAATTCTTCCAAGTTATTTAGGGATGTCAAAAATAAATGAATATCCATAATTGCCAAGGCTTCTGTTCCTGTACAGCAAGCAAATCATTTATGCCCAAAACGACTTAGGATTTTTGCATGCATTTTCCTCAAAGTTATATTCATACATGCTTTATAATCAGCTCTGTTCAGCTTATACATCGTCAATATCTCCTTCATCTTGACCAGCTTCCTCATGTGTTAGTACATCTCATTTTTAGTCTTGGAGTATTTTGAGATTAAAGCTGCTGCTGCTGTCAAATACACTTTTTCTATGGGGCTTCCTTTATATGTATGCTCCCTTCTGCTTTAAGTGCTCTACCTTCCTTTTATGCTACAGTTCCATGCATCTATTTAGATTTTCAGTCTCTTTAAGTGGTCACATCACTCACTTGATATACACAAAATTCAACTAGGTATGCTCTGCCAGAGATAGAGACTCTAAATAGTATCAGTGATTCTGCCAGTCATTCCATTCAAGAAGAGTATGCCCCAGAGAGAGCTCAAGTGTGAGGTGTGTGATGCAAACCTGCTATTCCCATGATGACCTCAATCCTGGGTCTCTTTCAGAATTTAAGTGTATCAATGTTTTGTTTATCATTCTAGTATTAAAAAACTCAGCCCCTACAAGTCTACCACCTCAGCTGTCAATCACCTGAAGAATCAGCCCAGATACCTGTTCAACCATTAGATTAAAAAAGTGACTATTCTTCCTATTAAGAATTGATGGGGCTGTCTCCACTATGATTATGACTTCATTGGGGTTTTTCAAGAGTGATTTTAGTTATATGCGATTCCTGCCTTACTAACTTTAGAATCTAACCCCTACGTAATATGTAAGGTAGAACTATACTGTATTCGGGCGCCTGGGTGGCTCAGTCAGTTAAGCGACTGCCTTCGGCTCAGGTCATGATCCTGGAGTCCCAGGATCGAGTCCCATGTCGGGCTCCCCGCTCGGTGGGGAGTCTGCTTCTCCCTCTGACCCCTTCCCCTCTCATGCTCTCTCTCACTCTCTCTCTCCAATAAATAAATAAAATCTTTAAAAAAAAAAAAAAAGGACTATACTGTATTCATCACAAAAGCTAAAGAAATAATATAAATTTAAGGTTACTAGTTTAGTGCAGGAAGGCAGGCTGCAGTTTCTCTTCAGTGGCTCAGCTTTCACTGTAGTTATCTGCTGTAGGTCCAGCTGTATTGACAGTGGTGCTACTTTGGGGAACTGGGAGAAGGAACCTATTCTTGGGTCCCCCTATACAGTTGTTTTATAAATTGGTTAACATTAAATTTGGATGTTAGCTGAAAAGGACTGTAACTTGATTACAGCCTTTGAGTCCTCCCACATTCAAATTAAAGGGTGTTAGCAGAGTCCTACATTTCCACTAAAACCATCCAGCTTTCTTGGGCATGGGAAATAAAGGCTCTCCACTTCCTTTGTTTGAGTTGACTTACCAGTTCTCTATTTGTAAGAGAAATTCCTTAAAGTTTCTGGTATAGGGTAGCAACTTTCCATAATTTCCAGTGTTTCTGCAGGTTTCCCTCATTTAAGAGAGGGGAAGAAAGTTGTACACAATATACCACTGTACCTGGCATTCCCTTATTTTCTAAATAAGGAATATATTCACGTATGTTTACATATAATATTAAGCATGTTCAATTAAATCAAAATAGTTTACTATAAAAAATGTTTTGGGCAACAGCATCTACAGAAGAAAATATCATTTAGATTTAGAATGGATTTATAATATGTCCCAGAAAAACAAATTAATCCTTGAACTTTCTTGCCAAATACGCAGCACAAGAGCAAATGTCTGCTAGCCCCAACTTTGTAGCTGGATTCAGAATTTCAGCTGCGTTTAACACCAAAAGGGGGAAAAATATGACCAAAGCTACACTTTTAAAACACAGTACATACCATCAAAACACCTAGGATACTTTTCATGGATCATACAGAAACATTCTTAACTTTTTGCAAATGTACAGTTATAAGACCTTACTGATAAGGAAGTTGAAATGCTTGGAACTTGTAGAGTGAAGTATAAATAACATGTCAGGTGGCAGAGTGTGTCCATTGGCATTCAGCCCACACTTACCCTTCTTTAAAACACTCCCCTAAATCACTATAGTTAGAAGGCTGAAGCTACACTTCCCAGACTGAATTCTTATTAGGTTCTGCCCATGACACCTACAACCGATTCAAAGAAATGGGAGAAAGAATCCACTCTCCTGGTGAGGAGCCACCAACAATGTGAAGATAAGCAGTAGCCCAGGAGCTCCTGCAGAGGGGCATCAAGCAGATAATCAGGGGCTACTGCAGCTGCCACATGACAGTATGTACAGAGGATGCTGAGCTCAGAATAGTGCTCACTTGTGCAGAATCAACAGCTTTCTGCAATTCCTCACCTCCAGAAACAATATCATCTTCCCCCCTTTATTCCTTCACCCTTCTTCTAATAATCTGAATTCTAATTCCCTAAATCATGTCCCTTTCTGTGTAAAATACCCAAAGTGGTTTCTACTCTCCAGACAGGACACTAGTTGATAAAATCAGGTAAAATAAGCAATTCATCCCTTTGGTTATGTTAAAAAAAGCAAAAGGGCACACAGAACTTGGTGTGATTCCATGTTTCTGGACATCCTTTAAAGTAATTCCTAAACATTTATTTCAGCTAGAATGAAAATAAATCTTGAAAAAGCCCTGAGATTTAGGAAGTAATAGCAAAGAAATTGGCATACATTAATGTATACTGACAAGTCACTTCAATAATTTTCCCAACTTCGCTGAGATATAACTGACACATTAGCTTTTCAAATTTTAA